GGCAGAGCTTGCAGTGAGCCAAGATTGCGCCACTGCACTCCAGCCTGGGTGACAGAGCAAGACTCCTTCTCAAAAAAAAAAAAAAAAAAGGGAAATGAGTCATGCCTGTAATGCCAGCACCTTGGAAGGCTGAGACAGGAGGATCACTTGAGGCCAAAAGTTTGAGATCAGCCTGGTCAACATAGTGAGACACCACCTACTTAAAAGAAAAAAAAACCTGAAACAAACTCCTACCTAGTGCTGCGCTGATAAAACTGCCTCTTGGCAGCAAGGACTCAGCCCTTGTCTTCCCGCACCTCATAGGGTTGGGCCTAGCAGAGAGACGGAGATTTGGCTGACAAGCCCAGCCTAAACAGTGGCTAAAATAAATACGGGGGCCATCTGCACAGTAAGGGGGGAAGACCACGTGATGTTCAGGGCCTCTTCAGAAAGACCTTGCTAAGTTAAGTATTCCCAAGGCTTTGCCAGGAAGAGCGGACTGTGGGTGGAAACCCCCCAAGTCAGGGGGCAGCAGGTCCAGTCTGCAGTGCCAGGAGCTGAGCAAGCAAAGTCTTGCGAATCAGCAGAGCTGAGCTGGGCAGACATGTGCTGGGCTGGGAAGCCAAGGGTAGCTATGGTAACTGGCCCTGAGGCGGCTGTGGTGCTCTGCAGACTGGCTTGGGTTTTTCTAATGTTTTGAGGCTCACTTGATCTCCTGCTGTGACCAGCCCCTCTCTGCCTGGCAGGGGAAAGCCACCGAACTCTCAGGCCTTCCTGGTAGCCGAGGAGCCCAGCGGAGGGGCTGCTGCTGGCTGCTGGGATTGCAGAGGCTGGGGTCTCTGTGGCGTTGCTTTCCTGGAAAGGAGGGACGGCACCTCCGGGGCAGCCAGCAGTGTGGGAGCCCATTCCAGGGCATGAATGGGCACTCAGGAATGGAAAATCCAAGAGGGAACAAACCACCGACAAAGAAATGCAGTGTGAGCGGTGGCTGCGAAGTCTGTGCCTTCAAATATACAGCGCCCAGGGGACCCGTGGTAGAGGGGGAGCAAACTGGCAGGGCTGAGAGCGCCTTGGTTTTCTGTGCAGACAGGTCCAGCTGCAGAAATTAAGACTGGGGCTGAGTCGGGGAGAAGCCTTCCACGTTGAGACGGCAACTGGGCAAAGCAGGACGGAGACCTGTGTGTCTGACTGGAGAGGCCTGCGGCATTGGCATGTGGCTGGAGGTCCAGGCAGGGTGCCACCACCACAGAGGTCAGGCATGAATTCAGTCCTGACAAAACATGGGTCTCCACCTCCAAGCTGGCTCAAACTTTGTTCGGGAACCGGTGAGTATGTTTTCTGTCTCTTTTGTCTAGAAAGGAGGTTTGAGGACACAGAGTGAAAGGAGGAACTTTGCAGGTCTTGGAGGGCTCCAAGGACTCGCACTCACTGAACTAGTCCAGACCGTTTAAGAGCCACTTGCGGGCTGAATCCATTTTGTCTCATTCATCCATTAATCAGTGAGTGAAGCCCTCCCAGCCCTGCAGTTTTAGCCATCAGCTCTGATTTGAGGGCAGAGGAGGGGCTTTGCTGCTCAGCCATCCAGCTCCTGAAAGAAGAAAGACGAGACTCCACGCCGAAGGGTGGCTCTGGTGGCAGATGGTTTTGCTGCTGTGACTCTCGTGTTAGAGGAAGGTTACCTGTTTCCCCCTCTGTGACACAGAAAGTGGGGTAAGAAAGATGGCCCAAGAGCCTTCAAACTGTCCCATTTTGTGCATCCAAGTTGCATGCCCCCGGCGAGGATGATCTGGAACCATTCCCAACCTTGTCTTTGTAGCTTTCGGGAAGGGCCAGGAAATTCCTCCTGCACATCCATATTTTCAAGTTTACTTTTAATATCTGCCATGACGCATTTTGGGAGTCGGGGGTCAGGAATAGTGTTCATGAAATCCAGTAACATTCTCCCACCGGACTTGGAGCCTGGTCTGGGAAACATCCCGGCCCCAGCAGGATAGCCTGGCCTGGCCTGGCCTTGGGGCATTTAGGCCACAGACCCCTCTGGTTGTGCTCAGATCTGAGCCCGTTCCAACCTTTATCTCTGTCTCCCCAATGGCTGGCCCAAAAGATTTATGAAGCTGACAGCGGGTCATGGAGAATTCCTCCCAAGGCCACGCAGGCCCCTCAGCCCAGGGCCATCCCCTCCCCAGCAAGGAATCTGAGCTGCTGACTTTTTCTTCCTTCGCTCACCCCCACAAGCTCATCCCCTGCTAGTATTCAGGGAATATAGAGTTGTGTGAACCACAGTGGCAGTGACAGCATGTGATATGTGAGCCCCCAGCACTCACATAGTAACATGGCCGTGTAATTCTTATTTCCTAAAGGGAGATTGTGTCCAGGTGTGGGTGACACTGGGGGTTACAGACCTTTAGGAGTGTCCCCTGTATCATACCTACCCCATGAACAGCAGAGAATGGTCACCTATTCTCAGCATATGCTTGATTGTATCTTTAAGCCCTTTAAATGTAAATACACATGTGCCCTTTGCTTTTTTTGAGACGGAGTCTCGCTCTGTCGCCCAGGCTGGAGTGCAGTGGCACAATCTCTGCTCACTACAACCTCCACCTCCTGGGTTCAAACGATTCTCCTGCCTCAGCTCCCAAGTAGCTGGGACTACAGGCACGTACCA